AACACCGAGGGCACGACACGCCGGGCACACGACGAGCGAACGATCGACCAGCATGCACTCAAAGAGCGAACGGTGTATACAGCCGAGGGAAGTCGAGGGCGGAGAAAGGCGGACGCAGGAGGGGGTGACGAAATACCATGGACGACGCTCAGCGCCTTGATTTCCGGCTCCTGTGGGGCCGCGAGAGGCCGCTGGAGGGGAACCTCGCCTGAGGTGACGCGGCGTCGGGCCCCCCACAGGAGCACACACAACACACACACACACACAGACACACTGCCAGGCTAGAAAGCCGCTCGGGCGCTCAAAGCCAGGCAGTGCGAAGTACGGCCAGCCCCTCACGGGGCAGTAGATGGGGTCAGAGCAGATGGGGTCGGAGGATCGCGCCACGTCGCGAATGCATCAACGATTCACTGGCGACGCCAGCGATGCATCGACGACGTCGGCGCGGCGAAAATCAGGCTCCATATCGAGCTGCATCGCCGATGCATCGGCGATGCGGCGCGATCCTCCGACCCCATCTACTCCGACCCCATCTGGGAGGCCCAGGTAGGCACAACTGTTCTTTGGGCGTCGCGGCCACGCGCGCAGGCGCGCGGCGGCGGCAGGTGAGCGGCCAGAAGCGGAGGCGGAGCGCGACCGCCTGGCCCGGCTCGGCGGCAGCGGGGCGCACAGGCTTCACCCATGTGTGAAGGGGCCCTGAGACACACAAATAAATAGACACAAATAAAAGGATTCCTTATATTTTCACATGTTTTCTGGGTTTTTGTCTTCCCCCCTAATTCCCATATTTTCCTATATTTTCCTGGGCGTCGACGATTAATTGTGTCTGTGTGTTTTTGTCCTCTCCTGAATGTGGGGAACAGCGCTGCACGACCCACGGGGGGGGGGGGCCAGCCGCGAACGGGGAAGACGAGGAGGGGCCGACGTGGGCACCGCGAGGATGCGAGGAGGGACCATGGCCAAAGCAGAGGTGCGCAGACGGAGCACACACACACACACACGCGCATACACACACACACACACACACACACACACACACACACACACACACACACACACACACACGCGCATACAGTCGACCCGTATCAGAAGGAGGCACGATAGGGGGATGCAAGAAGGGCCTCGGAAGGCCACTTGGAAGCTTCTCGAGCGCTGCGCGGTAAACGAAAGTGGCCAAGGACGGACCGAGGAGGCAAAGACGCAAGGATATACCCTTGGGAAGGCTGCCCAGCCTTGCCATGCGGGTTCACTGTACACCAGAGGTCGCGGCGCAATGTCTGTGCGGGACTCCTCGAGCCAGATCGGCCCCCGTAAGGACCACAGGGCTCGAGGCGGGTCTGAAGGCGCCCGCGGCGGTGCCTCTTCGACGCCCAGACTGGAGGCCTCCCAACTAGGGCCCATGGGGCCTGAGGAACGCGCAGCATCGGCGATGTATCGGCGATGTCAGGGTTGAGAAAATCGAGCTCCAAATCGAGCCACACCCGCGATGCATCGGCGATACGGCGCGATCCTCCAAGCCCATCTACCCTGGCCCCGTTTGGGAGGCCTCGACGGACGTGAGGGCCCCACTCGGGTCGGACGCAAGGGGGTTGGCTGGCGGGGTTAAGCGAAACAGCTCATGTAGCTGGTTTCCTGGCGCCTCACGGGGCCTGAGGCGCCACTGTGCCGAAATCACCTGCATGCAGCAGATTTCGGACCCGCCCTTTCCATATCCCCCCCCTCAGACATCCGAAATCATGATTCTGCTCGCAACGTGGCTCCCCAGAGAGGCCTGGAGGACCCCTTCCCCACGGCCAGCTTTTCATCCTGACTCGTTCTTGTGGACGCTCCAGGGCCTGGCGAGGGCCAAAAAATTACGAAAACCTTCCGTAGTGATTCTTCGGGGACGCACTGACCTGGGTCACTGCAACCCCGGGTCAATCAGGCTTAGATCCTGCAGGATCCTGCAGGTTCCTGCACCCAATCCTGGGTCAGTGCACCCCTGGCCCTGCAGGATCCTGCAAGACCCGGCGCTCTGGCTGACCCCCGATGGCACTGACCCCCGTCTCTTGAGCCCCGAGTCCTGCCACAACGACCAACCCAGACCCCCAACGTCATGACTTTTCATGACGTCGACCCCCAGAGGTATGGACCCCTTCCCCGGGACCAGTTTCTCGTCCCGAGTCGTGTTGTGGACGGTCCCGAGGCGGCCTCGGGACCGTCAACAAAGGCCTCAGGCCTGGTAGGGCCCGCCAGAGGCCGAAACATGGAAAAACGATTGCAGCTCCAAACAATACCCCACCACCAGCCCTGGCCAAGCCCATCCTGGGCCCTGGACCGGTGCACAGGCCCTCCTGGCCTGGGCCTGGAGGTCTATACACCAGCCCTCAGGGCCCAGGATGGACCTGGGCAGGGCTGGTGGTGGTGCATTGTTGGCCTCCCTCGAGGGGGGCCGGTCGAACGCCCCACGTGCCCCCGCCGCCCTCGGCACGCCTCGCACTCGCCGACGTCGTCGGAGAGCACGACCGGGGTGCCGGGCGGCCGGGCGGGGCCGGAGAGCCCGAGGGCCGGCGGGCGGCCGGCGGGCGAGCGCTGCCCCGCGGAGCTCGCGGCGCGAGCCCCGCAGGCCCGCGGGGTGGCCCACCAGGGCTCCTCGCTCCTCCTCCTCCTGCTCCTCCTCCTCCTGCTCCTTCATTCGGTGGCCTCCTCCTCCTCCTCCTCCCTCCTCCTCCTCCTCCTCCTCCTCCTCCTCCTCCTCCTCCTCCTCCTCCTCCTCCTCCTCCCCGCAGGCCCGAGGCCCCCCGCGGCGCCCGGCGCCCGAGGTTCGACGATGCAGGCTCGAGGATCGGCGAGCGAGGCGCCCGGTTCCCAGACTGACTGCCTACCAGGCCACCCCAACGCAAGCCGAAGACCCGAATTTCGGGTTGGGGGGGGTAAAAGGGTTCCACGTGTGTTTTCCCCGCCCCCCCCCCCACTGGAAATCGAGGGTAACTCTGAGCCTTCGGGTTGGGTTGGGGTGCTTTGGAGGGTGGTGACAGACCGCCCCAGGGATCCAACGCGTTGGAAAAAAGCAAGACGGAAGCTTTGCGCCGCTTTCGGCCTCTAAAGAGACTCTCGCCCGGCGGCGGGACCGTCAAGAACCGACTCGGGATGGAAGACCGGTCCATGGGAATGGGTCGAGACTTCCGTGGGGGCCGCATTGAAAAAATCACAGCATCGGATCTCTGGGCCCTTGGGTCATCAAAAAAGCGCGACGGGAGGTTTGTCGCCAATTTCGGCTTCTGGGGGCCCTAGCGGGCCTCGGGGCCCCCAGAGAGCGACTCGGGGGGAGGAGCCGGTCCTGGAGAATGGGTCGAGACATTTGAGGGCTGACATCATGAAAGAATCACGAGGCTCCTGGTTTGCGTTCGTTTTCGTCGGCATCTGAAGGTTTCCCCGCCTCGGGATGCTCTCCAGCAGCTGCCCCTCGCCGAGGGCCCTCGGAACGTCCCACGATCGGCCGCACAGGGCCCGAGTCTCTGGCAGAAAAGTCGACAGCCTCGCGTCGCAAAACACACGCTACTTGCGGCCTGCATGGGGCCATCTCGGGGCCCTGGGGCCGTCAGAAAGCTCTAGCTTTCTGACGACCGAGTATACTCTTAGGTCGGGCGTGTCCTCCTACAGCTGGATGTTGAACGAAGAATGAAAAAATGTCCAAAAAATCCGCTGGCCCCCTTGCGGGGCCAATAGGCTGCGCGGGATAGGGTTGCAGTGCCCTGTACCAGTTCCAGTTTCCAGTGCCCTGCAACCAGTTCCAGTTTCCAGTTTCCAATGTTTACAATCTTGCTGTCTGCTTCCTACTGTAAAGTGTTACTGCCCGCGCGAGGAAGGGGAGCCGAAAAGTACCCTGGTGACCCTTCCCAAGGAGGGTTCTCAGAATTTCTGGCAGGGCCCTGGGTCGCGTAAATATATGAGATTGGCGCCTCCGAGGCCACGATCCCTCGCAGATTACACCAAAGTCGCGCCCCCAGGGCCACGATCCTTTTGTAAATTATACCATATTTGCGTCCCCGAGGCCATAAACACATATAAGTTACCTATACGACCACCCTTCGGGTGATAAGGAGGTTGTGGGGGGGGAGAGAGGGGGGGAACCAACATCTGACTCAATCGATCTCACTATCGATCTCACTCAACGGGACACCACGGGACACCACGGGACACCACGGGACACTTGTCGATCTCCCGATCGATCTCACTATCGATATCACTCAGCGGGACACCACGGGACACCACCGGACACCACGGGACACTACGGGACACCGCGGGACACCTCTCGATCTCACTATCGGTCTCACTATCGATCTCACCATCGATGTGACTCAATGGGACACCATAGGACACCACGGGACACCTCGGGACACCTCTCGATCTCACTATCTACCTCACTCAACGAGACACCACGGGACACCACAGGACACCTGTCGATCCCACGATCTCACTTTTTGGGAAACCACGAGACACCACGGGACACCGCGGGACACCACATCGATCTCAGTATCGATCTCACTATCGATCTCGCTATCGATCTCACTATCGATCTCACTCAACGGGACACCACGGGACACCACGGGACACCACGGGACACCGCGGGACACCGCGAGCCACCGCCAGACGGACGGACGGATGGGCGGGCGGGGGAGAATCATGTGTCTTGACTTCGCCCTAGCAACGGCGGACACCACGAGACACCACGGGACACCACGGGACACTACGGGACACCGCGAGCCACCGCCGGACGGACGGACGGGAGCGAAACAGCTGTCTTGACTTCCCCCTAGCAACGGCGGACACCACGGGACACCACGGGACACCGCTAGGGCCACCGCCAGACGGACGGACGGACGGACGGGAGAGCAGCATTCGTATTGACTTCGCCCTCGGCGGGTTCATTCCTCTCGCGCGCCCACGCAGCTTCGCCTCGCCCGCACGCACGACACGAACGAAACGAAACGATTTCCGGTTGGGGGTCTCCGTTCCACTGCGATCTCACCCCCCAACCTCGGATACACGATTCGCGTCCCCGAGGCTATAAGCCTCTGTAATTACGCCATCTTCGCGTCCCCGAGGCCATAAACCTTCGAAAATTATACAATGCTCGCGAGACTGGGGCCATGACCGTTTGCAAATTACGCGAGACTTGCGCCCCCCGAAGCCATGAGCCCCCGAAAAATAAACAGTATTTGCACCCCCAAGGCCACAAACCCTTGCAAATTAAGTTCGCGTCCACGAAGTAGGCTGTCGTAAAATTCATAATAATTCCGTCCTCGAGGCCATAAGCCGTCGTAAGTTACGCAACGCTCGCGTCCCCAAACTTTCACCCCTTGTAAAGTATACAAGTTTCGAGTCCCCGAAGCCAGAAGCCTTTATAAATTACGCCATATGCGCGCCCCCGAGGCCACAAACCGTCATAAAAGATACGAGATTTGCATCTCCGAGGCCATAAGCCCCAAGACTCGCGCCCCCGAGGCCAGGATTCCTTGTAAAGCTACGGCGCACTCGCCCCCCCGAGGCATCATTCCCTTACAACAGACGCCGAGGAGCCCGAAGACCTCCCCAGCCGCGCGATTTTGCCCACTCTAGCCTCAAGCAGCCCCCAGTCGTTCCAAGAGGGCCTCCAATGCACAGCATGCGGGGGCAAGTCCAAAATGCAACACCGAATTCAACAATACAATCTGGATCTACATCTGTCTTGCCGATGTCGTATCGTCTTCGCATTGAGGTTCCGACACTGCTTCAGGACGGCACCCAGACCTCACGACGTAGCTCTTGCATGATCCAGTATCCGAGAGGGGGCCGGCGGCAGGGGGCGAAGCCCTTACGCACATTCAAAACAAAATACCAGAAAAATCACCCCCTGACTGTTTGTGGACTGTTCTTGAATATTCCCCCTGTAGAGGGACGTGCCCGACTTGAGCACAACTCAGGATGAAAAAGCTGGTCCTAGGGCGTGGGTCGATGAAGGAGCCCAGGGACACACAAATAAATACACACAAATAAAAAGATCCCCATATTTTCTCATATTTTCTGGGTTTCTGTCTTCCCCCCCACTTCCCATATTTTCCATATTCTCTGGGGAATCGAGGATCAATTGTGTCTGTGTGTTTCGTTTCCTCCTGAATCGAGACCTGCGGGGCCCCGCGCTGCGGACGAAAACAACAAAAAAACGACGCCTTACAGCCCCACAGCTTCGCACGAGGAGCCAGATGCGCCCCTGCCTTACACGGCCTACCACAAACGTCGCCGACGCCGTGAGAACAGATCATGACGTCGTGGCGACGTGGCAGGCTGAGCTCCCGATCCCGTCGTCAGGCGCTCCCTCCCCAGAGTGGGCGGCGCGCAGAGAAGGGCAGGGGGGAGGGAGAAAGGCTCCTCAGAAGGCGGCTGCTTCTTCGAAGGCGCCGGCCCTGCATCCATCGATCAGGCACGCGCCTTCAAAGAAGCACAGGTGTTTCTAAAAAGCCTTCCCCCCCCCCCGAACCCCTCTGCGCGTGGCCGACAGGAACCCAGAGATCTGATGTCGTGATTTTTTCCATGCGGGGCCCCTGGAAGTCTCGACCCATTCCCCTGGACCGGCTGTACACCCTGCGAAATGCTTAAGAAATCATGGGTTAAGAAATTCATAGTCTCAGAATTTGAACAAAAACTCAAAATTTCCATTCAAATCATAGGATTTACATTGAAACATTAAGAATAATCGAGACTCTGGTCGAAAACTCAAGTTTTCTTAAGCATCGCCTAAGGTGTACATCCTGAGTCGTTCTTCGACGGTCCGACCGTGATCCTCTGAGCGGGGCCGATGCGCTCGGGGCCCCCGGGGGCCCGAGAAAACCGGAGAAGGAGCGCCCGCCCCGACCTTTGCCCACGACGCCCCCGAAGGCCAAACAGGAGACACGCAAGGCCATCTGCTCCCCCGAAGCCAGACCCCCGACGTCATGATCTCTTCGTGACGTCGATCCCCAGAGGTCTCGACCCGAGGCCCCCTCGAGTCACGAAGAAATCACGACGGGAGGTTTTTTGCTATTTTCGGCCTCTGGGGGCCCCTACCCAGCCCTCGGGACCGTCAAAGAACGACTCAGCATGAAAGTCAGGTCACTGGGAATGGGTCCAGACCTCGGGGGGTCGACGTGACGAAGAAATCATGACGTCGGGGATCTGGGACCCGCGCACTGGCTCCTCATTCCGAACAACCTTTGTTTTGACGGCCCCGAGGCACGGCGAACGGGCCCCCGGAGGCCGAGAATGGTGAAAAGCCTCCAGTCGCGATTCCTGTCATGGCCCGAGGGGTTCTGAGAAGGCAACATGTTTCGGCCCACTTCGGCTACACGCAAAAGCGACCCTGGGTGACCTTTGGTGCGCGGCTTTTGGGGGGCCGCGGGGAGTCCAAATCCAGGCGCGCAAGCCACTGCTCGCGCTTCGCGTTCAGCCATCTGCCGGCGTTGCCAAAAAAAGAATGCAGCGTCGCAAGCAATCACGACCAGA